TCTTGAGCTCCTTCACTCCTTGTAAAGTGACAGGCTGGCTTATCCTTCTGTGTCTCTGACTCTGCCCCCACTATTTAACATTTAGAAAAGTTGGATACATGCAATTGTTAAAACACCTTCCTTTTCTTAAATGGTTTTGCATACCACCTGATTGGCTGCTGTTTAATGTTGATTGGAAAACATTTGAGTGAGCATTTGGTAGTAGACTTTTTTATTCCTTTCCACTTGAATGCATGTAGATTACATTTGCCAAGGCATACAGAGTTACATTGCCAAAATTAGTTTATATGGATCCAATTTGGATCTGGTCTCTGTATATCCTCCCTTTTCCTCAGGAGATATGTTTTAAGACCCCTCCCCCCAGTGCATGCCTAAAACTGGGGATAGCACTAAACCCCATATATGGGATGTTTTTTCCCGAGACACATCATGTTATACCTGTGATAAAGTTTAATTTATAAATTAGGCACAGTGAGAGATTAAAAATAACTACTAATAGAATAGAACAGTTATAAACTCTGCTTTCCCCTGCTCCTTTCCTCTGTTCCTTTTCTCTCTCAAAATATCGTATTGTATTGCAATCACCTATTTTCAGACCACAGTTGAATGCAGGTAACTGAAGCCACAGAACGCAAAACCACAGATAAGAAGGGATTACTGTTTTTTGTAGACTAGTAATGTATAGGAGATCCTTTCATTTTTCAGTCTTTTTGAGTATTGAAATCATTTAATAAATTGACATCTCTGTTGTCTGAGAGTGGGTAATGAATGTAGTTCTGATTAAAAGAGAAAATCCATGTTGGTTACAAGTCAAACATTTGCCCACACATCCCACGCCTTTTTCTTTTTCTTTTTTTTTTTGAGATGATCTTCTTCTCTTACCCTGGCTGTAGTGCAGTGGGGTCATGACAGCTCACTGCAATCTCAAATTCTTGGGTTCAAACAATCCTTCTGCCTCAGCCTCCCAAGTACCTGGTACCACAAGTGTATGCCACCACACTTGGCTAATTTTTCTGGTTTTGTAGAGATGGTAACTCCCTCGGGCTGGTCTCAAACTCCTGGTGCTAAGAGATCCTTCTGTCTTGACCTCACAAGTGCTAGGATTACAGGCATGAGGTGCTCACTGGGTCTCGACATGCCTCTTTTTCTTTATCCATGTTAAAGTGACTTTTTCTTTCTGTTCCTTAATTAGTTAAATATTTATAGTGAATGTAGCTTAGGGGTAAGGATAATTCACATAGTCATTACTTTTATGAGTCAGTGATTTTTTATGCACTTGTTTTTATAAAGTGGATTATGGATATCGATCGCCGCCTTTCTCTTCTGCCTTTTACTAGCAGTAGTTCTGATTATTGGTATAACTTACTAAAGAAAAAATCCTAGATTTTGATACTACCTTTCAAGAAGTATGTTGATGATTTATTTCCTTATCGATATTTTCTTGAGGTTATACGATTATACATTTTCCTCATGTCCTTTAATTTTTTGTTATTCTTACTTTTAACTTCAAATATATATCATTGACTTTTAAAAATTAATTTGATTTTCTATTGTGAAGGACTAAGTGATAAGATAAATGTATTTTTAAAAAACTACCATAGTCTAGGGCTAAAAACTTAAGAACCACTGACTACTGAAGTTTTTCGCTGATGCGTAGACAAACCCATCCCCTGGTCTGTGTCTTATTTTGCAGGCTCCTGTCAGAATATATTGCTTCCATAAGCTTAGATACTGAAAGTTTTTAAGCCATTTGACATACGTAGTCCAGATTCTCAAAGTAATCTTTAAGGTAGCCAGGGCTGTTGTCACTATCCCATTTTATAAATGACTGCTGACACTTGGAAAGGTTTTTCAACTCAGTCACTTCCCGGTATCCCTGATTCCCGGTCCACTGCCGACTTGTACCATGCTTTCCCCTGCTAGTGGAACTCAGCCCCAACAGCCACTGTAGGACACTTACTGTCTTTTGTCAGCAGTGAACCACTCTGCAGAGTCCTTGGGTTTTTTGCTGGATTATAAACCACATTTAAACATTCAGGAATTAACAACTGTAGTTGTCAAGAGCATCCTCTGTAGTCATGGGTAAAACTTTCAATCTTGAAATACTGTATATGAGTTTTTCTCTTTCAAAAAATTGGTTTTAAAAAAGTCTTAGGGGCAGCACCCGTAGCTCAGTGGGTAAGGCACTGGCTGCCTACACCCAGGCTGGCCAGTTTGAACCCAGCCCGGGCCAGCTAAACAATAATGACAAATGCAACAAAAAAATAGCCTGGTGTTGTGGTGGGCGCCTTTAGTCCCAGCTACTTGGGAGGCTGAGGCAAGAGAATCACTTAAGCCCAAGAGTTTGAGGTTGCTGTGAGCTGTGACACTGTGGCACTCTACGAAGGGCAACGTAGTGAGACTCCGTCTCCTCAAAAAAAAAAAAAAAGTCTTAGTAAAAATCTGCCCTTAAAAACATTGCTGGCACCCCATTCCCCAGTATCTACTCTTGACCCAGGTTTTTTTTTTTTTTTATCTTATTGCCTTCTAAAATCCATATAACCCTTTCATTGAAAGTAAAAATGTTTGAGAATTTTCATGTGCATGAAAAGAAACAGTGACTGAAATGACTTTCTCTGGTTACTTTATGCCAGAAGAGAAGTGAGGATAGTGTAAGTTTCTTGTTGAGAGATAAAATTTGAAATGAATATTTAATCCTAAATATTACTAACTGAGAAAGTAAATGAAGGAAGCAAGTTGGTAACTAGAAATAGAAAATCAGGGGGGAGGGAAAATAAAATAAAAAAAATAAAAAAAAAAAGAAATAGAAAATCAGGTGGCAAGGAAGTAGCCCCAAGTTCTGGTCTTTTCCCGCAGTCATTTGAATCATGTAAAAGACAGAATCTTAACTCTTTTAATGTTACTTTGAATTCTTTCCCCCCTTTGTTCTCTATGTATCCAATCACAGAGTCTCAATAACTGTTCCCTGTTACTAGGTCCACCCTTCGTGTGTTTTACAGCCTTCACCCAGGGTGGAACGTTCTAATTTACTCTTGTTTTGCCACAGGAACCATGATCTTTGCCTCACTGAGTTAATCCTTTGTGTACATACTGGAATAATTCTTTATAGACAGCATTTGTAGCATCTTAGCCTCTGTACTCAAACTTCTAAGGAGGTGAATCTAAATATAACTGAACATTTGAAACATGCCCTTAGCTTCCCTCTTAAAATTCATGAAGTCTACATATTTTTGAGAGTGATGATGAATGAACAGAATATTTAGGTTCTTTAGTTCTCATTCCTTAATAATTCTCAATAAGTATCCAGTGTTCTACTGTTATTTGTCTTTTTCAAAAGTCCTGTCTCTGCCATGAAACGGATTGACTCATTTCCCATAAGTATCTCCTGTCTCTTTCTAGTCTTTATGAGATCTGGAATCTCTTTCCTTATCCTGCATTACTTACCTTTGTACAGTGGGGTGTCCAACCTTTTTTCTTCCCTGCTGCAAATTGGAAAATAAAAGTTGCTTTGGGCCACATATTAAGTACACAAACGCTAAGGACAACTGATAAACAAAATAATAGATCCATGCATACTTTTTGCAGTATCCAACATTACCGATAAACAAAACAGAACTCAAAATATCTGCATGTGGTCTGTGGGCTGCAGGTTGGAAACCCCTTTTTATAACTTAGGACTGCCTGGCATCCATCCATCCATCCAGTCCGGCAAGACTTCTTTACTAGATTGTGAACTTGCTGAAGGCAGGCTTCTGTGTGGCGTGTTTCTTTATGTGTCTCAGGTTCTTAGAATAGTGCCTGGCCACTTTTGGACATTATTTGTCAAATGATTAGATCCTGCTAAGAACTTCATCATGTAACTTATTCTGCTCCTTTTTCTTTTTTTTTTTCTTTCTTTCTTTTTTTTTTTGAGTCTCAAGCTGTTGCCCTGGGTAGAGTGCCATGGCATCATAGCACACAGCAATCTCCAACTCTTGGGCTCAAGCGATCCTCTTGCCTCATTTATTTTCTATTTTTATAGAGACGGGGTCTGACTTTTTTTGCTCAGGCTGATCTCAAACTCATGCAAGCTGTCCAACCACCTCAACTTCCCAGAGTGCTAGGATTACAGGTGTGAGCCACTGCACTCAGCTCCTCTTTATCCCTCAGTTTACTCATAACCATTGTAATAATTTATATGAGTATTCAAAATTGGTTTGATTTGGTGGCTAGTAGTTACTGTGAGCTAAAATTACTAGATGGCTCACCTAAGGATTAAAGACACCTTTGACTTCAGGATTGAATACTTTTAACAATTAAAAACTAAACTGTTTATCTTTGAAGTAGATAAGATTTTTCTCTTGCTTTAATGTTTCACTTGGATTAAATTTTGTCCATACAATGTTAGCTGTAACCAAAATAATTTTTCATAATGAATTACATTTTAATTATTCTTTCATTGTTTTGTTCTTTTCTCTCTCTCCCTCCTTTTTTTTTTTTTTTTTAAGACAAAGTCTCTCTCTGTTGCCCAGACTAAAGTGCTGTGGCCTCAGCTTACTTCACAGAAACCTCAAACTCCTGTGCTCAAGCAATCCTCCTGGCTCAGACTCCCAAGTAGCTGGGTTTACAGGCATGCACCACCATGCCCAGCTAATTTTTCTGATTTTAGTAGAGACAGGGTCAAACTCCTGAGCTCAGGAGATCCTCCTGGCTCAGCCTCCCAAAGTGCTAGGATTATAGAAATGAGCCTCTGTACCCAGGCTGTTTTGTTTTCTTTTTTTCCAATTGGATTCAGAATTCCTTGAGGGTAGAGACCATTTCTTTGTACATTGAAGTAAATGGTGATTTAAATGAAAATGAAATTGAGTTAAAGTTACAGGTGTGCCCATCACCCAGATATTGTGCATTATACCCTTGCGTGAGATTTTACCCATCACTGCCCTCCCCCAGCCACTTGATTTCCATGGAGTTTTATTTTCATATGTGCACAACAAGTGTTGATCAGTTCCAGTCTAAGTGAGAACAAAAATTTGTGTACCACGAATTTGTGTATTACCCTTGTACAGGGCCATGCTAATTTTCTCTATATCATTCCAGTTTTAAGATATGTGCTGCCAAAGCCAGCGCCAAGTTAATATTTTTGTCAGTACCCTCACTTTCCCAGATATGTGTATCCTGTTGCCATTTAGTGAGACATTCCAGACAGTGTGTTGCGTGTCCTCCATTATATCTAGTTACTCTAAGTGCTATATTAGTGCCTGCTTGTGAGAAACCAGCTAATACTTTTTAGATGGCTGTTAGCTTGGACTTTGTTTTTACTGTTCTTTAGGAAATTGTCATTAGAGGTACTGCACTGTACCTTTGAAATTACACCTTCCTATGTACTCTGTTCTCTCTCCATTATTTTTGCTCCATCATTGTTATGGATATATTTTTTAGATATTTTCATGGAATTGTTAGTTGTTTAAAGAGGGGCACCATTTTGTTCTGTTTCATGCCTAACTTGGCTGTTTTTAATGTGTTCTGTATTAGTTCTTCCTTGTAGATGTTCATGGAAAATGCTAGAGCTTTCTAATTTTTACTTTTTTGTGCTTCCTCACAGTCATACTATTTATTACACTGCTTGTTAACAGGTTGCTGGAGTGTCTGTTTAGTAACTTAGGGGAATAGGTTCTCTTAGGCTTTCTCTTACTGGTGCTTTATAGAATACATGTGAAATATTTTAAGTGGAGGATTGCCAGTTTTGTTTTTGGAGAATAGGGCCACAGATGCAAAATGGCTGCTGTATTTTTGTTTGCAGTGTCCAATTTTAAGTAAGTCTGACATCAGTTAAGTGTCTGTAAGGAAACAAAGGCTGGTTGTGAGTGTTTTTTATCATTCTGAATGGGGGCACTGTTGGCTTTAGATATTGGAATAATTTAAGCCTTACCAAAAATGGCCCTTTTGATGATTTTCTTGTATTTAAGAACTAACAGCTCTTTGCTTTAGGCCTAGTATTTGTTATGGTTTTTTTTTTTTTTAATTTCTTGGTATGTTAATAGTGGGTATTGGCTTTGCTGCCTCTGTCAGCTGATCTGCCCAGCTGGATTTCTGAGAAGGTCTTTTGCTTTGACAGGAGTATGTTGTGCTCATTTATCTCTTGCCATAAGGGAATTTACTTTGAGGATTGGGATTTAGTACTAAAGGTGAAGAAGGCTGGTTCTGTAGTCCACAGTGCACACCTAAAAAAGTCAAAACAAAAATGTGAGAAGTCGTCTCTGCTAACCTTTATTGTTAACAGGATAACCTAGAGCATGAAACCTTCCTTACTAGGTTTTTGCTGGGGACATTCTTTGTAGAAGGTAAAACTATAACTTCCTAATAAATAAAACCAGAAAGTATTCTTAAAATCTTGGATGACTATGAAGTTCTGTGAAATCTTCATGATGAATATGACCACTGTGTATACAGAAAGCATGGTAATGTATTGACTGTCTAACTTTTACTAGAAAAGTCTCTTTTTATTTCTCTAACTTTTTCCTGCAAGATAAATATAGCCTTAAATTCTAACAGAGTTGAAATTAATTGGGATAGCAGATTTTAGAGAGGAAAAAACCACCAGCCTTGGAGTCAGCAGATGTACTTAAGAGTTTATATTAGTTTCCTAGGGTTGCAATAACAAAGTATCACAAACTTGATGGTTTAAAAAAAATAGAAATTTATTTTCTCCCCTTCAGTTCTGGAGGCTGAAAGTTGAATTCAAGGTTGTTGAGTAGAGCAGTGCTTCCTCTGAATCCTCTAGAGCAGTGTTTTTCAACCTTTTTTATCTCAGCACACTTGACCTATAGTTAAACTTCCATGGCACACTTAAATTGTGTTGATCGAAAGAAAAAGAGTGAAAGCAAGAATATACTTACTGTGCTTTGAACTTATTTCAAAAATAATTTAATTAATGATCATTAAAAATTTTCAGACTTAAGATCATCTCAGGCACACCAGTGTGCTGCTGTACACGGTTGAAAATCACTGCCTTCAAGTGGCTGCTGCTTATGTGGACACCAGTCATGAGATTAGGGCCACACTAATGCCCTCATCTTAACTTGATAACGTCTACAAAGATCCTGTTTCCTAATAAGGTCCCATTCATGGGCACCAGGTCTTAGGACTTCAACATAGCTTTTTGGGGGTCAGGGGGCAAAATTCAGCAGAGTCTCAACTCTTCACTAACTATATGTTTGAGAACAAAATTGTCTATGTAACTTTGAGCCTCATTTTCCTTATCTAAAATTGTGACATTACTTTATAGGTTTGCTGCAAGGATTTCAAATGAAAATATTTGCAATTGGTTTAGGAATGTGGAGGCTTGTATTTTTTATTGATGATTGTAAGGAACATTTTTTGTTTCTAAGAGAGAATTTAACAAGATTGCCCAACTTTCAGAAATTGACCCCAGTCCCTGATTTGTCTTCATTTCCCACTTGTAATTTATTACAGTCATATATTTCTTTCTGTGCATTACAGGTTTTCTTGATTATAAACAATTTGTAGTTCATTAGTTCAGAATCTTAATTCTGACTCACTGTTATTTGATAGCATCTTTTAAAAGTATGGAGCTCTCTTAGGTATTTTTAGTGAAAACCCAATCAAGAAAAAGCAGGCAGCCTCAAGGCCATGCATGGAACATAATTTCGAGTGTTTTTTTAACCAATACATTTGCAATAAATGGAAATTTAAATGATGCATCTTAGATACATGTAATTTTTATGCATCTTAGATACACGTAATTTTTATTTTGTGTTACAGTCCTCAGTTGACATAAACTTTAGGTTTTTTATTTTCTTTGGTTTTTGAAGCATCACAAATTGAAATCTGTGTGAATCAACAGCAAACACTTGGGTAAGCTCAGCCAGTTTTTATGATTTCCATCCATCTAGTGCAACTTTAAAAGGATTTTTCTTGCCCTTGGAAGCATTTGTTATACACAGAAGGTGATGTTTATTTGAGCCAAGGACATTTAATGATATTTCTTCCTCTTTAATTCTTTGTCAGTTTAGGTTACCACCAGTCTAATGCAGTGACTTCAGGTGCCATTTTTGAATACCAGATCCATTGCTCTGTGCTAACATTTTTAAGTTATTGTAAACTCTAGCCGTAGTCTTTAGTTTTAGAGAGGTATTCCTGCAGGATACTTTCAAAGAGAAATGCTCCCAGGCCACTGTATGGCATTCCCTGAAACAAGATGGATAGTGTTTTGAAGGCACTGTTTTCAAACACAAAATAGTGATGTTACTGGTGGGCAGAAGCCCAAGATGAAGTGTTGAGCATAAACCCAAAATACTCAGCTTATAGTGCAGGCCCTGCACATGCGGGTAGTAGAAGAATCCTTTCTTTTAGCCATATCTCACAGAGAGAGCTGAGGAATAGCATTATGTTTAATATAAAGTAGATGAAATGCAGTACTGTATGTTTATAAACCTATGTAGCTAAATTCAGATGTACCACTTGTACCACTAGTGGCCTGGCGGTGTTCTAAGCATTGTTCAAAACCAGCTTAGACCGTTCTGTGACTCAGTTTTAAGGCTGATGTCTTTGTGGAATCCTGTTGAGTAGCTCTGTGGTCTCCAAATGTTTTGATTACACAGCAGTATTAGGGAAAGATGATTTCAGCATTGTCTTAGTTTATGATGAAGAGAAATGTATTGGCTCACAGTTTAGGGGCCTGGGAAATCCATTATCGTGGTGGCATCTGACAAGTGCCTTCCTGCAGTGTCGTACCATGACAGAAGGCATGGTAAAGAGGAGTAGAAAGCGAGCAGGCTGTTCATTCCCTTACTAAGGAGCTACACATCTCTTAAAGGGCCTGCTTATTAATACCGTTTACAGTGGAACTAAATTTCAGCGTGAGCTTTGGCGGAAGCAACAATTCTGACCAAGCAAACATGTACCCTCAATGTTATATGTATTTATAGATTGTACATTAAAAAAACATTTTAAAATACAAGTTTTTGAAATTAAGAGAGAGGTTTTAGTAATTCTTAACATCCCATTTTGGGGACTCTTTTTATTTTAATTATTTATTTTTAGATAGTCTCACTTTGTTGCCCTCGGTAGAGTACTGTGGCATCACAGCTCACAGCAACCTCAAACTTTTGGGCTTAAGCAATTCTCTTGCCTCAACCTCTCAAGTAGCTGGGACTACAGGTGCCTGCTACAATGCCCAGCTGTATTTTAGAAACGGAGTCTTGCTCTGGCTCAGGCTGGCCTTGAACTCGTGAGCTCAGGCAATCCACCTGCCTCGGTCTCCCAAGTGCTGGGATTATATGTGTGAGCCACTGCACCCAGCCTTTGAGACTCTTTTTAAATAGAGCTTATTTTATCACCAAAAGGCATTTTAATTTAACACACTTTACAGTGCTTAACAATGTGCAAGTCACTGCTAGTTGCTGAACAAGAGACAGGTAAAATGTGTTTTTCATACCTGAGGAGCAGAAAGTTGAGTATAACATTGGAAGCACAAGTGACTGCTTGATGGTAGAGTGAGAATCTGCATGAGAGACACAGAGTGCTGAGAGCACAGCAGAAGGGCAGGCACAACATGGATTCAGTGACACTCGAGCTGCACCTCTTAAAAGCATAGATGCACATTTGATAGCATTTAATAGGGAAGGTGGAACTGATATTTGAGCTACTTAATTTAATATATGCCAGGCAACATGCTGGGTGCTTATGTTCATTTAAAGTCAAAGCAGCCTTAAAGAAGGGTGTATAGGTATTGGATCTAGGTATTCTAGACCCCATTTTATAAGAGAACCAGGATTAGATTGAGTTCCATCTTTCTGTAACACTTTGCTTTGTCATTCTGAGCAAAGTATACCCATTTTTCTCTTAGGATGTTGACTTTGCTTCTCCAGTGAAGATAGAATGAGTCTGTACAGCATTATTTGCTGTAGAGACGCATTTTGTTGTATGCAGACACCCAAACTTTGTAGTGACTAAAAAATTCAAATATAAAGATGTAGCAAAACAGCTTGTCTAAGAATTTTAAGTACAGCCAATGATACATCAGAAGTTTTTCCCTAAATATCCAATTTTCTATTTCCACATAAACTTTAATTGCACTAGCCTCACTTTCCAAAGACTGCTATTGT